CATGCTACAATAAAACAACACTTTGTACAATGCAGCTGTCTGAACAAACAGAAAAACACTTTGGGGCTTCTTCCCACCCCCTTCCCCAAAAAACTTGTTAAAACTCTTACCTGGAAAGATGCTTAAACCTCTATTTATTTCTAAGCTAATGATCAGAGCTCGAGCAGTGATGCTAAAGATTTGTCGAGGTGCAAGGTTCAATCCATCAGTAACCTGAAAATTAAAACCTCCTGACATTGCTCCTTCAAAAAAAAAAAAGAAAAGAAAAAAAAGAAAGAAAATACACTCTTGTCAGTTTGGTAGTTCTGCCAAATCCATCCACCTTCACCCTTGCCCCCACCACCACTTTCTTTGAAAAATAGTTCTTATCAATTTAAGAATGTGTTAATACAACTTCAGAGTTCACTGAATCAAATATAGATATGTACTACACAATGATGTTTCACTCAATAACAAACCACATGTGGTCTCATGAGATCATGTCACTCAGAGATCTCTCAGCCATCTTTGTTTGTGTATGAACTCTCTATGATGTTCACACAATGACAGAAATCACCTGCCAACTCATTCTAGGATGTATCACTAACTTTAAGTAATATGTAACTGTTCTACCAAAGACACAAAGTTCAAACATATCAATGAAGACCTAAAAATGCAGATGCAATCTGGGAATGGTGGCATACGTGTAATCCCAGCTACTCAGCTACTCAGCAGTAGAGACAAAGGGATCAGGGTTTGATGCCAGCCTAGGGAAAGTTAGGGATGATACCCTATCTGAAAAACAAACAAAAAGTAGCTACAAGCTACTTCTTGTAGCTCAAGCAGTAAAGTACTTTCCTAGCAAGCAGAAGGTCCTGACTTCAATCCCTAGTATAATAAAACAAAATATAAAATAAAATTTAAAATAACTAAAACAGAAATTCATCCAATCTGTGACATAATAAAATAAAAAGGAGATATCATTTCTGAAAATTTTTCTAACATAATCATCACTGCATTTTGTTATTCTGAAATTAAATTATAGTGTAGTAAAGTAATACATAACTATAATATATATACACCGATATACATATTCCCTAATAATTTCTGAAATTTTGATAATGCTGAAAATCAAATAGTTACACTTTGAATTACCTAACTACCTTAAGCTGACTCTATTTTGAGGAAAGAAAGGGAAGGGAAAGAATCGGGCTTGCTTTTGTAAAATTTCTACAAGGAGAGAATTCCACCCCCACACTTCTGCCAAGGGATTATGAATAGCAATAAAGTTAAAAATTAATATGTGCAAGACATAAATCAAGATGGACCCACATTGATCCAGTTCCTGAGAGGACTTTACCAATCTGACTCACACGGCACCACGCATGATCACTATGCAGACATCCCATCATCCTAGGAAAATGTCCAGCCAGCAGTCCATTTAGAGGCCTGTGCTGGGTAAGAAATGGCTGCCCTCTGGGACATGTGGCAAAAGGGGAAAGAAAGCAGGCCCAACCTGACTCTGCAGTTAGGTATGAGCATCCCTTAATATCACAGTTTAATAAAAGCTTTGTAAATCGAAGGCTTGAGAACTCTCAAGTCTCTGTCATTTACATAAACCCCGAGAATTCTGATTTCTCACACAAAAAGGTTACAGATCGTTAATTTTTCCCAATATACTGACAATGAGAGAAAAACAAAGACAGAGAGAAAATTTAGTATCTTCCTAACTCAGAACCAAATGTTATTTTGCAATTTTGTTATCCTAGAAATAGCTCTTTAAATAAAAGAAATAGCTCTAGAACAATTTCTAAAGAATTTTTTTCTAGAAATAGCTCTTAATGAAACACAAAATCAAGGACAGAGTATTCCCTACCATGAGCACTTCAAATATTTCATAAGCCCAGAAACAAAATGGAAAGGGAAGCAAAAGAATTCTATCGAAGCCAATACAGAGGCTGGATGTGGTAGTCCATTACTTATCATCCTAACTACAGCAGGAAGTTAAAATGGGCAGATAGCAGTTCAGGTGCATACCCGGAGTACACAACCAGGAAGGAAACAAGACTATCTCAAAAGTAACCAGTGCAAAAGTGGGCTGGAAGTATGTCAGGTACCTAGCAAATACAACACACACACACACACACACACACACACACACACACATGCACGCACACACAGCACATGGGGAAAGAGAGAGAGAGGGGGAGAGAGAGAGAGAGAGAGAATATTATATTGTGACCTAACAGACTAATCAGGACCAAAGAAAGATAAAAATGTAAACACAAAAAGAAGGTTGCTTGGGTAAACAAATGCAATCCTGCTACTCAGTATACACTATATGGAAAATGATCTGTGTAACTTGTGGACAGGGATTAGAGAAAGCAACTGGAGGAAAGTAAAGGAAGGGATCATATTATCCAGAAAAACATGTGTACTCCTTACCTGGCTTATAAAATGCTAACCCCTCTGTACAACACCTTAATAATAAAAATAAAATTATATTTTTATAAAATAGGGCTGCCCTGCGGATTTCCTATTATACAGTCTCTGATTTTCCCCAACAGTACTTTGAGAAAGACGAGCTTCAGGTAATCACTTAGCCTCTCATATCTTGGTTTTCTCAACCCACTTAGGTTAAACGACACAGTGAATTACCTTAATGGCAGAGGACTTCACAAAGACAAAATGCTAAGAGAGACTAAACCTCAGTCTTTGTTTGGGACTGAGGACAGACATAGGCACCAATGGAGAACCAGCTGGCTTCAGCAAGACTCCTCTGCAGCTGGGCTTCCAACTCTGAAAGTGATTAGCTGGCCTCACCATCCATTTAGAAAATGTAATGGATCAGCCCTCCTGTGAACCTTGCCTTTAACTTGCCTTCCTGCTTTTCTAGGAGACATTATCATCTCTACTTGCCAAAAGCAAATATTGACCTGGCAATTGACAAATCAATCAACCCAGAGAGTTCATGTTTATTTAAATCCTTCATGGCAAATAGTAACTCCAGGTTTTTCAGCATGCTCTGTCCTTCCGTGAGTGAGAACTCCTGAAGAAAGCCCAGTTTTAGAGTTGGGCCAATTTAATCTTTCTAAGACTCTGTTTCTTTATTTCAAAAATGGGCTCATTACAAGTGTTCAGGGGACTTCTGGAGGTGATGTGAAGTAAGTGGTGTGGCAGGAGAGAATCAGTGCCTCCCCCTCTATACACACACACACACACACACACACACACACACACACACATCTCCATAGCAGCTACCCCCAGAACCATGATAAACTTTCTTTAAAGAGAAAGTCGTAGTTGTAGGCCCTTACCTACTACTACCTAGCCTTTTGGTACCTAATACTGAAAAACATACAAAATTAGAAGAAACCTCAATTCAGTGTCCCTTTAATGAATTGTATTTTATTACTGAGCACATGTGTACACACTTTAAGAATGGAAACATGCACATGTATCCATGTGTCATCTAGCCTAGAAACAATATATATGTAAGTAGATTTAAGATTGCGTTACAGGTCTGACTGTCACACATTATGATCTATTGGTTTGGAACTAGTGGAGGGGGACATTCACATAGAAAATTATTTTGGGATGCTTTGGGGATCTTGTGTGGTAAGTCCAAAAATAATCAAGACATTACCGTATTTAGATTTAGATGTAATCTTATTTTTATTTTCTTTACTATAGTTTTAAAGAAAGTAATTGGAAGGAGCAGGGGACATGCCCCGAGTACTAGAGTACTTGCCTCATAGGCCTGTGACCCTGAGTTCAACACCAGTGCCAAACAAGTCATAGTGATAATCGGAAAAGCTCATGCTCTCTCCTTCCCAATCCTTCCAGCTGCTACCAAGAGCAGCTGGAAACAAAGCCAGGCCACCTTTGCAGTGTGTCTGGGTCACCCCTTCTGCTGATTCCTGGCAGCCATTTGACTGATTTATTGATGAACAAAAGAAAGCAGAAAAGGCCTTCAATATCTAAGTCTCTCAAAAATACAGTTACATTCATTTGGTCACGTATTCATTCCTTGCTCAAATACTTGCTTTGTTCACTGGTGTTATTTCCAGCACCTAGAACATTACTACCTCACACATTATTTCTTTGTTTTCTTATTTGTTTGTTTGTTTTTGTGGATTTGGGTTTTTTTGAGGGGGAGTTTGGGTTTTTTGTTTGTTTGTTTCTGGCCTTGAGCTTTTTCCCTCACTGCTGGTGCTCTACCAGTTGGGCCATGCCTCCACTTTCAGCTTTCTGCTGGTTAGTTGGAGATAAGAATCTCATGGCTTTGTCTTCCCAGGCTAACACCAAACCATGATTCTGAGATCTCAGCCTCCTAAGTAGCTAGGATTATAGTCATGAGTCTATGGCACCTAGCTTTTTTTAAATTTGTTTTTAGTTTACTATAGGTGATGTACAGAGGGATTACAGTTATGTAAGTTAGATAAAGAATATATTTCTTTTTGGACAATGCCACCCCTTCTCTGGCTCTCTCTCAGTTTTTCCCTCCCATTCCCACCCACAAGTTGTATAGTTCATTTTCAACATAGTGTCTAGTGGGTACCATTGGGCATCTAGTTTTTTATGTCATTTGTTTGACAATTTTTACTTATTAAACAACTACTCTTTACTAGTCACTCTTCCAGAAGCTGAGAATACAAGAGGCTTTGTCCTTAGTGTGTTTACATTGCTATAGGGAAAACAGGCAAGAAATAAAAATGAATGTCCAAGTCAATCTCCAGTGATAGGTGAGGGGAAGAGACGGAGAATGACAAGAAAACAGATGCTATGGCAAACTTGGCAGGAAAAGGCTCAAAGTTTATAACCAGACTTCCGTGCTAACTCGAATATGTGGGAGTCATAGAGACTCTATAATGTTTGTAGTTATTGGCTTTACCAAGAAATATTACAGCCTTGGAAAGTTTCTATATGGTTTTTCAGTGAGCATCTCTTATCGATACATATCACACTAACAACGGATCAAAACACATTTTAGTTCCATGCTGCTTGGCTCTGGGACATACCGGCATGTACAAACACTAGTTGGCCCTCATTGATTTGAGCCTGGGTGAAGTTCTGGATGCTTTGACTGGGAAGGAACTTGAAAGCCAGATGCCCATTACTGGGTGGAGTAACCCAGTAGACCAGGTCCTGCGGGGAGGAGTCCTCATCTTCTGCACACAGGTCACCTCTGGTCATCTCTGTGACTGAATTCACCCACACCTTAAAAAGAAGAGACCCACATACCTCTTGAGAACCCATACTAATCCTAACACATTATTAAACAGGTATCTAGGACATAAACCAAATCAATTCATCAGAGGTTGAAAGCATGAGATTTCTTGTTCCAAAGAGACATATAAATAAAGCCAGATGAAATGCAAGGCATGTATAAGGGTTCCATAAAAATAGTATTCATTTTACTCAAAATGAACTAAAGTTAATACACACTTATACAAAGCAGAGCTAATGGATACCTGTCAATGCAATAACCCATGGGCTCTCAGATTACACAGAACCTACCTCACTAGGTTCTATGTATTACTCTAAGATTCACATGATTCCATCAGCTTTTAAATAGTTGAGGTAAAAACATACGTGCCTCCTTTTTTTATTCCCTAATTCTTCCTGTCTGTGAAGAAAACAAATACCTGCTTCTTTCCTCTTGACCATATTTGTCATATTGATAGCTCCCATGTATGACTGCATCTGAGTAACATGTTGTTTTCCACTTACATGTAAAGTCTATTTACCTGGCCTGAACATCTAAATTCAACAATTCACCAGCTATTTAATTGAGTTCCTATCATGTCCCAGGAAATGTTTTGGGCGCTTACAGTATAATGATAAACAAACAAAAGATTCCTGCCAGGGAGCCTCTGTTCCAGGGCCAAGAGGGCGAGGACACAGAGAAGGATGGAGGAGCATAATAAGGGAGTAAATTACATAGTCTGTTGAAAGTTACAACATCATGATAAAACTGAAGCAATATCAGCCAGGCTCAGTATGGAATGAATCTTAAGGAGGAGGCTCTGTGGAAGACAGGCTGGGAAGAGGTAAGGGGGAGGCATGTGACTATCTAGAGGACTAATCCGACAGAAGGAATAACATAAATGTGGGAATGGCGTCATTGACATGAAGAGCAGTAAAGAGGAAATAAGCAGGAGGAAAATAAGCAAGATGGAGATTTTTTTTTAAAAAAAAAGGATAAATCAGAAACATAATTGATGGTCAAATCCTACATAGTCAAGCACTGCCTTCAGAACCTCGCCTTGACCATGAGTGCAGTCAGAAATCCGAGTAGGCACTCTGGTGAGAAGTGATCCAGTATACAAAACACACAGTTCTTCTGGTTTCTATGTTGAGAAGAGCCCACTGGCTGGACCAGGGTAAAAGCAGGGAGACCAGTTAGTGGCTGACTATAGTAACCTCAGGGAAGAATGAAAGAAGACAGGGATGGAAAGTTGCAGAGGTAGTAGGCCACATCCAGCTCTGGGTGGTCTTTGAAGGTAACTAAATGTCTGATGAACTGAATGTGAGGAGGCATGGAAGAAGGGAAGGAGGAGGGAAGGACATCCTGGTTGGGAGTGGGGGAATACGTAGAGAAAAATCCTTATCCATTGAAAGGAGGGATACTGTGGGGTAGAAGACTGAGAGGAACATCAGTTCTGTGATGAGTATGTTGAGTTTTAAATGCCTATTTGAGAGTTTAGAATCATGGAATCACATGATATTTTCACAAGCGCTAAAAACAAGTGGTTTTATCACAAACTCAGTTTTCATATTTCTGTCTGTATTTATTTATTTTCTTAACCACAAAAACACTATGTGCACATTCCTAAGCTTATGTATCATCCTTCGCTCTCCGACTAGTCTTATTCTGATCTACGCATTTTACCAACATGTTTAAAATGTCACTCCTAAACCATCTAATAGATAAGTTGCCAGGTTAAAAGGAACTCTTTGCTCAGTAAAATGGGCAATTTATGAAGTAACTTAACCCATGCCTGATCATCTACTAACTGCCTAAGCAGAATTTGAGACTGAAGGTCAAAAGACATATACATTTCTGGTGTTTTCATACAAAGCACACCAGCACTAGAAGAGTAAAAGTCTACTCTAATGCCTTCTAATGATCTAACCATTGATAGCATAGGAAAAACTTGTTTGTGAGTCATCATTAGCTTTTTGGAAGTTTGTGGATGAAAGCACAAAGTAATTGCACTTAAATAAATACTCCCAAACCAGGTGGTGGCTCAAGCCTTAATCCTACCTACTCAGAAGGCTGAGATCTGAGGATCACAGTTCAAAGCCAGCCCAGGTAGGAAAGTCTGTGAGACTCTCATCTCCAATTAACCTCCAGAAAGCTAGAAGTGGTGCTGTGGCTCAAAGTAGTAGAGCATTAGCCCTAAGCAATAAAGCTCAAGGACAGCACCCAGGCCCCGTGTTCAAGCCCTACAACCAACAAATAAATAAATACTGCCATACACTCCATGTGTACATGTGTATATGTGTGCAGGCACACACACACACACACACACACACACACACACACACACACATTAGATGTATACACCCAACTTCATGGTTAAGTCTTCAGGTGACTATGCTGAAGAACAATACATCCCAATAACAATAGCACTGCTCAGAATTCTTCCATAGAACTCATTTTCAGGTTATTCACAAACATTATATTTTGTTTTTGTCCAATGACTGCCTAGGTTCAAGTCCTTGCTTTGTGAATTTGGCCATATTTCTTAGTTTCTCTGGGTCTTATGTTCCTCATCAGTAATGATGAAGGTGCTTATATATACTGAATGATTTAATCTAAAAGTACTTAGAACCACTATCCCTCATATATAGAGTTCTCAATAAATATTAGCTCTATGTAACCCATCTACCTCATCAGCTTCACTCTAAGCATTTCTCTCTCTCTCTCTCTCTCTCTCTCGTCTCTCTGTCTCTGTCTCTCTGTCTCTGCTGTGTGTATGCGGTTTTTGCTTGGGATCAGATCAAACCAAAGCCTCTCACACGGCAGACTAGTGTTCCATCCCTGAACCACAGCTCCAAGCCCAGATACGATTTTTTTCATGTTACTTAACAGTCATTCTGGTTGTGATGACTGTCACTACAGAAGCTGTTCTCTAGTACACAATGCAGATTATGTCTAACTCTATATCTCCACAAAGAGAGGCATAGTTTATCTGCTCAATGCTGATATTGTCAGCGGATGCTTCTATACCTGGCCATGTGGGTTCTACTCACTGACGCCCCAGTCCCATGCTCTAAAGACACTGACTTTATAGTAACAACTAGAAACATTATTCAACTTCAACTTAATATTCAGATTATAAGGTGTTAGCCTTCACTCAACCCAGTGAAAGATTTCCATAAAATAAACAAGTTGGTGCAGTTCTGGGCTGGCTTTGACCTGCAGTTCTCTGGAGCTCACTTCCTGAATTGCTAGCTTTGAAGGCAAGAGCCACTTGTGCCAGGCTTCTTTCTCCTTAATTTTATGCAAGAGTTTGTGAAAATTGGCATTACGTCTTTCATAGACGCTAATAGAGTTCACCAATGAATCCATTTGTATCTAAAATCTTCTTTGTCCTATGGCCTTAAGAACAAAGTTAATTTCTCCAATAAGAATAGGCTTAAACAGGTTATCTTTATTTTCTCCAGTGAGGATTAATAGTTTGTAACTTTCAAGGTGTTTTTCCATTTCATTCAAGTTGTCAAATTAATTTTTTTAAATGAAAATGTTAAAAAAAAAACAATTTGGCTTGTCTAAAAACAAAAATGTCAAACTCATCTGTTCCAGTTTTGTCCGTATGTCTAATTCTCATTTCTTCAGAGACTCAAGCTAACTTAGACATGTGCAGTCATTTCTCTTCCTGTAACTTCTAGACTCTTTTTTTTTCCCCACCACAGAGCACAAAAGAGCTGGACAAAGCGCATTTCCCACTGCAGTTGTACCACTGTGAGCCTCGCATTTCCCCCTCCAGCCTCTGAATACACCAGCCTCCAAAACAAATAGGAAACTTGCTGCACAAAGTAAATGCTAGTGCCCTGTGGCTCTCATTTCTACTCAAATAAAATGTAGTTTAATTAGCAGCTCCCAGTGCTTCAGGGGAGGCCCAGTGCATGGCAACGGAGATTTCACATAGGTGGGGAGTACAGTGACCTTGTACTTTTTTAATCCAGGTGATTAATAGCCCAAGAAATCTAGTTCACAGAATGAATATCCAGAGGAAAAATCAACACTAGAAGCTAGAATGATACATATGATACATTTTTTAAATTCATCTTTAGCTTTAAGAGGATGTTAGTGGAGTTTAGAAACCTAATTATTATTGAATTTAAGTCAAATTATGAACCTAGTATTAAAGACCCCGACTTTTGCTTTGGGGGATTTTTGGTGGTGGTGGCTTTTCTTTTGGGGGGGATTGTTTTTATTTTTGATTTCTCTGTGTGTGTGTGTGTGTAGAGAGAGAGAGAGAGAGAGGGAGAGGGAGAGAGAGAGAGAGAAAGAGAGAGAGAGAGAGTGTCCTGAGGCTTGAGCTCAGAGCCTTGGCACTATCCCTGAACTTTGGTGCTCAAGGCAAGTGATCTACCATTTGAACCACAGTGCCACTTCCAGCTTTTTAGTGATTAATTGATGAGAGATGAGAGTTTCACAGACTTTCCTACCTGGGCTGGCTTTGAACCACAATCCTCAGATCTTAGCATCCTAAGTAAGCTAGGGTTATAGGCATGAGCCACCAACACCCAGCCTTTATTTTGAATTCCATATGAGGTCTGTGAAATGCTCATGAGTTCTTTGTCCCCAAGTTTGACCCACCCAGGACCTTAGCTCTCATTTCAGTAATAATTCTTTCACTATGTTTAACTCTCAAAAGTTTTTATAGTGATGTTAAGTGCCTAACAGAAACAAGTAGGATGTAGCTCAAGATGTATTATACTTGGCTAGCATATAGAAGGCACTACGTTTGATCCCAGTATTGAAAAAGAAAAACAAAGAAAAAGAACCAAAATACAAGTTAATTGTTCCATTTGAGTGTAAAAAAAGAAAAAAAGACAAAACATACAGTAATATAAAAAAAGAGAAACTTGAAAAATAGGATAATGGCGCTCCCTTGTGGAAACAAATATTTTTATCAGATAAGCATAAAAATCATTGGTCATGCCTAACACAAAAGTACACACACAGTAAGAATATATTTCAG